TTGAATGCTTTGTTGTTCAGAAATTTCTTCTACCAGATACTAGATCCCTAGCAGCCAAGCTCTTTGTTACAGTGTAACAAGGGTGACCTTTGCTCCAGTTCCTAATAAGTTTCTCATTTCCATCTGAGACCTCATAAGCCTGGCCTTCACTGTTCATATTTTGATGAGTATTTTGGTCACAACCACTTAGCAAGTCTCTGAGAAGTTCCAAACTTTCCCTCATCTTCCTGTCTTCTTCTGAGACCTCTAAATTCTTCCAATTTCTGCCCCTTACCCAGTTCCAAAGCTGTTTCCACATCTTCAGGTATCTTTATAGCAACACCCCACTGTCAGTACCTATTTTCTATATTAGTACATTTTGCATTGTTATAAGAAATAATAAGAGACTGGGTAATTTATAAAGAAAAGAGGTTTATTTTGGATGATAAATCTTCAGATTGTACAAGAAGTGTGATGCCAGCATCTACTTCTGGTGAAAGCATTAGGAAGCTTTTAGTCATGGTGGAAAGTGAAGGGCAAACAGGCATATCACATGGCAGGAAACAGAGCAAAAGAGAGAGGGAAGAGGTCCCAGGCTCTTTTAAACAACCAGATCTCATATGAACTCATGGAGTGAGAACTCACTCATTACCACAAGGACAGCACCAAGCCATTCATGAAGAATCTGCCCCCATGACCCAAGTACCTCCCACTAGGCCCCACCTCCAACATTGGGAATCACACTTTAACATGAGATTTGGAAGAGACACACACCCAAATCATATCAAAATGTATTAGTTAAGGTTCTATTGAAATAATTTAGGAGAAGAAAAGATGATACATACCAGGTAAATGAGCAAGGAGCGATCAGATTATAAATCACTTTTGTGTATATCATCTGTATTTATCTCTAAGAAACTTTGGAATTTTTAAACTTTGGAATTTTTTCTTCAGCTTGTATTTTAGCTTTAGAGGGTACATGTGTAAGTTTGTTACATAGATATATTGTGTGACACTGAGGTTTGGGGTATGAATCCCATCATCCAGGTGTTGAGCTTAGTACCCAAGCTTAGTACTCGGGAAATGCTCAAAACAGGAAGTTTTTCAATCCACACTTCTTTCCCTCCTTCGCCGCTCTAGTGGTCCCCTGTGTATATTGTTCCCATCTTTATGTCCATGTGTACTCGGTGTTTAGCTCCCACTTATAAGTGAGAACATGTCATATTTTGTTTTCTGTTTCTGCATTAATTTGCTTAGAATAATGGCCTCTAGCTGCATCCATGTTGCTGCAAAGGACACAATTTTGTTTGTTTCTATGGCTGTGTGGTATTCCATGGTGTATATGTACTACATTTTCTTTATCCAATCCACCGTTGATATGAATCTAGGTTGATTCCATGTCTTTGCTATTGTGAATAGTGCTGCAATAAACATATAAGTGCATGTGTCTTTTTGGTAGAAGAATTTATTTTCTTTTGGATATGTACCCAGTAATGGGATATAGCTCTGTTTTAAGTTCTTTGAGAAATCTTCAAACTGCTTGCCATGGTGGTTGAATTAATTTATATTACAACAACAGTGTATAAGTATTCTCTTTACCCACAGCCTTGCCAGCATCAGTTATTTGTTGACTTTTTAATAACAGTCATTCTGACTGGTGTGAGATTGTATCTTATTGTGGTTTTAATTTGCATTTCTCTGATGATTAATGATGATGAACATTTTTTCATGTTTGTTGGCTGGCTGCTTGTATGTCTTCTTTTGAAAAGTGTTTGCTCATGTTCTTTGCCAATTTTTAAATGCGGTTATTTGTTTTTCTCTAGTTGGTTTAAGTTCCTTACAGATATTGAGTATTGGACCTTTGTTGGATTAATAGTTTGAGAACATTTTCTCCCATTTTGTAGGTTTTCCATTTACTCTGTCCACAGCTTCTTTTGCTGTTCTGAAGAGCTCTTTAGTTTGATTGGGTTCCACTTGTTAATTTTTGATTTTTTAAACTGGATTTTTAAACCCCGTTTTACAGATGAGAAAACTGAGACTTAAAGAGACAAATTTTTAAGATCATAAAATTGGTAAGTGGTAAAACTAGGTCTTAAATGTAAGTCTTTTTAAAATTTTAAATCTCAACTTTATGTATATAATTGGTCAGTCACTGTGCTTGATGTGAAATATACAACTGTGAATAAGATGCAATTTCTGTCTTCTGGGACCTTATTGCTTGATGGGAAACAGATGAGTTTAAAATTTGCTTCAACGCAATCTGATAAGCTCTATGCTGATGATAGGTGCAGAAGGTGACATCAGTCCCAAGAATGGGTAGGATTTTGGCAGGCAAAGATCAGGACTGCATCTAAGTGGAGAAATTGTATAAGCAATGACATGGAGGCTAGAAAGTTATCCTGTTAAGTTGGAGTCTAGGGGCATTGTTGGAAACTGAGTTGGAAATGTACACTGAAGCCAGATCATGGAGGGCTTCTATGAGCATTCAACCAACACTTATTTTTTGGATGTACATCATGACAAGCTATATTGTCTGAAATGCAGGGATTACAGCAGCAAACAAGACAAACAAAATCCTTGTTCTTATGGGCCTTACATTCCAGTAGGGAGAAAAAGACAATAAATGAGTAACATAAAAACAAGGTATCAAATATGAAAAGTGTTAAGAACATTGGCAGCACAAATGATGAATATGTGGTAGAGAGTGATTGGGGTGATACCGTTTTAGAATAAATGCCAGAGAAAGCTTCTCTCACGAGGCAACTTTTTAACCAAGACCTGAATGAAATAAGGATTGAGCCACACCAAGATTGAGAAGAAGACTATTCTGATCAAAGAAATAGCTAGTTCAAAGGTCTCCAGGTGGGGATCAGCTTGTCCTGCTAGAATCATGGGAAGAAGGCCAGAGTGATTAGAAAACAGTGATGCAGAGGAGAATGGTGAAAGATGAGGCTTTGCAGGGCCCCATCCTATAGGAAAGTCCTGAGAACAAAGTTGGATTTTATTCTCAATGTGGAGGGAAGCTACTGGGAATTTCAAGTAGGGAGTGGCACAATGTGGTCTACCTTTTTAAAAGGGATGGGGAGTCCCATCAGGAAGCTGTATTCTAGGAGAGGTGGCCTGGAGTGGGATGACGGGAGTAGAGATGAAAAGAATCATGGATTTGGGCTGTTTTGTGTTTTGAGACAGAAACAAAAGGACTTGGCATGTAGATGATGCACTGATTGTTGAGCAGCTTCCAGATTTTGAGTTCTTTCACCCTGATTCTCCACCTTCTGATTTAGTTTGCTGGGGAGAGTTTAAGTTACAGAGAATATTTGTGTAGGAGACTCTTCCTACACATGAACACATGTGTCATTTAAACAGCAGCCAACATATGGGCATTCTCACTGATCTTGAGGCCCAGGACAAGCCATGGCCCTTTGCATTTTTCTCTGTCCCCCAGGATCACAGTCCTAGCTTAGATGCCTTTCTTCTAAGTCCTTCTTAGGACTCTTTCGCAGTCCTTCTAGGTATAGCTACTTACATCCTTGGTGTCATAACAGTAATTTTCTTATACTTATGACATTGTGCCTTGCATAATGGTTGTTTGCTGTATATATTGGTCTTACTATATTTTTATTTTCTTCAGGAAAGCAGCTATTATTATGAGTTATCATATTCTTCCTATGGTAAATACAACATTCCTATCTCCTCCTATATTTCCTAGACTTATTTGCAGCTAGAGTTCTAGATGTGAATTAATGTTTTTCCAATTAAGCATATTTGCATGATATTTGGAAGGTGAAAGTGAGTTAGAGACCATCACACCAAGATTTTGGCTTTTTGTTTTTTTTGTAAATAAGGTTATAGAGACAGGTTGATAGGCAATTTTGGCAGCAATGTCAGAGGCTTCTGAATCACATGTTTCTGATTTTTGGATTGCAAGTCTGGTAATGTATTGAACTCAATAGTCCCTGGGGTTGATTTCTAATTTCTAATAATTCAGTCCTTATTGTTCTAGGCAGTAAAGCCCTTATTGTTTAAAAGACCTAAAAAGGTTAGTTTCGTTCCTTGAGCCATAACTAAATGAGGAGTTAATTCAGTCTCTCTTGTTTGTCCCTGTGGTTTATATGCAGTAGATGCCCAATTAATGTCCAGTTGAATTTATTACAAAGCCAGACTTATTTGCTCCACCTGTCCACTTATTCAAAAACAATTAGTACCACTAGACATCACTGGCTATATTAAGTGCTGAGCAGTACAAAGTTGAGTAAGATACGGTCTTATTCCCAGTTTTCCAGGAGAGAAAATTACCATAGAGTGTGGGCCAAATGATATAACAAAAGTGAGTGTGAACTTAGAGAAAGCAGAGTTTGGAGTGTCCAGAAAGGCTGCTTAGAAGAGGTGAGGTTTTAGTTGGGACCCAGAGGATGCCTAGGGTTTTTTCAGGCAGAAAATAGCAGGGAGGTATTCCATGCTGATGGGATGGCATATTCAAAGATATGAATTCATGAAAGATCAAGTGTACTAAGAAAAGGTTAAGTCCTTGGTGTGACTGGAGCATTGGATGCTCCTGGGAGGGGCCTCTCATGTGACTAGGCTGGGTAGGTCATCTGATCAGATAGTGAGGCTTATGTGACACATTGAGGGATGTAAATTTTTTTCTCAAGTCACTGGGGAGCCACTGAGGAGAAGGGCCATTAAGGCAGTGGAGATGAAGACATGAGAAGAGATTCAAAAGTTATGGGGATGTAGAGTTGGGAAGACTCAACGACAATTTGAATGCGGCAGTGAGGGAGTGGTAAAGGTAAAATATGACTAAGTAGAGGGAGGAGGAGCTGAAAATTATATTTAGATCAGTTTCATTTTGACTCTTTGTTTTTTGTTTTGTATTGATTCTTATTTTTTTTCAGTGCCCAGGAACTCAGGGAACAAAGACATTTTAGAAATCAAGAAATAAGGTGTTATTTTTGGGAAATGGCTCAAAAGTGAAAATAGCACAATCTTCCCACAGTGAAGAAAGAAAGGAGTCATGAAAGTCATTGCTCATCAATTATTTATTAGATATTTTAATACAATTCTTAATCTGCACATAGATTTTCTTGAGAAGAGTTTTCAGGTCTTAGGAGCTATAGATCAACAGTTCTGATCCCCTGGAATTTGCAAACATGTGACATATACTTTCTCTCTGTTTTGTATAATCAGAAACTAGAAAGGTATTGAGTTGGAATGGGTTCATTCAGCTCTAGTGATAGGCACTATTGGACAGTCCCTCTGGTGTGGAATAAGAGCCTGGCATGGGAGATGTAGTAAACATCAGAGATGCACTCTATGTTCTCGGCTCTCCTAGCAGCCTTGAACTGAGTTTCATTCTAGTCTAGACTATGAGGCTTGAAATTCCTGATGTTTTATCCACAGGATCCAAAGCTCACCAAACCTATGGTTCCTATCCTTGGATGTAATATAAATCTTCAGAATATCTTTTCTGTTTCTGAACTTTAGGGAGAAGTGTTCTACTGTTCTACCTTTCAATGATTCAACCAGGTCTCAGAAGTCAAAGCAGGAAATGATTTAAATACCCACACTGATCAACATTAAGATATGATTATTTCACCCAATTTACCACCTAGATTTCACTGAATCAGAAAACCCTAGAATTGCTGCTCAAAAAACCAAAAAGCCCTTACATGAATACTAGTACTCAAAAACATCCTTGCAGGTAGATACAGCAGAGGATAGAGGGAAGAAATACATTCTTGATCTTTTAAGTAGAATTAAAGGTGAACTCAACATATAGGTTTCTTTTTTGCCTTTGTGTTGCTTTACCTCTGGTGCTCACATAGACTAGTATCAATAGGATTTCTGCTCTTGCACATAGTCATAGAGGGGGTTGGGAACAGTAGCTGCCTTGATAGGGTGACCACGCTGTTCTCTGCTTTGGGGCCTCCCACTGCTCTGGGTTGGATAGAAGGATGGCTCAGTGTGTCTTTTCTGTGAACCTTGGCTCTGGTCATCCTCATTCATGTGGAATTTTTCTCTGTTAGGACAGCTTCTCTGGGTCACTTGGGATTTTTGATTCTGAGATCCTTGATATCTCTCTTTCTCCTCATAGTTTTGTCTATTATGTTGTTGCTTATGGTTTTGATCCTCTTCATGGGTTTGCCCGTCTCGTCTTTGACTGTTCTGCCCATCTTCATGGGTTTGCCTGTCTCGTCTCTGACAGTTCTGCTCATCTTCATGGGTTTGCCTGTCTCGTCTCTCGTGGTTCTGCTCATCTTCATAGGTTTGCCTGTCTCGTCTCTGACGGTTCTGCTCATCTTCATGGGTTTGCCTGTCTTGTCTCTGGTGGTTCTGCTCATCTTCATGGGTTTGTCTGTCTCGTCTCTGATGGTTCTGCTCATCTTCAGGGGTTTGCCTGTCCTGTGTCCCACATGGACCTTCCTGACCCTCATGACTGTGTCTATCCCAACTTTGATGGCCCTGCTCTTCCTCTGCCCAGTGGCTCTGCCCCTCACCATGACTCTGCCTGGTCTTGGCCTGTCTGTGGCCCTGCTCATTACTGCATGATTGCCAGTCTCTCCCTTTGTGACAAAGTGGTCTTTCTTGTTGGATGTGTGCTAAGAGTTTGTGTTGGTGGTGTTGGCTATCCTCTTCAGGCTCCCATACCTGGTGGATGTTCTCCTGTGAGTCCCTAGACTGGAATCCCTGTCCCTGGTTTTGGTACCCTTTCTGTCCTGGAGTCTGTTGACTTAGCCTCCCTGATCTTCCTGATTGCTCAACATAAGAGGCTTTTCTTGTTCCTTCGGTCCCTTGGAAGTACTTATTTTGCCCTTGTATTTCCCCAGTCTGTGATTGAACATAGCAGGAACTCTGGCCTTGTCTGTCTGTCTGACCATAATGATAACTCTGACTTTGTCTGTCTGTCTGACCACAATGGGAACTCTGGCCTTGTCTGTCTGTCTGACCATAATGATAACTCTGCCCTTGTCTGTCCATCTGACCGTAGTGGGAACTCTGGCCTTGTCTGTCTGTCTGACCATAGTGGGAACTCTGGCCTTGTCTGTCTGTCTGACCATAGTGGGAACTCTGGCCTTGTCTGTCTGTCTGACCATAGTGGGAACTCTGGCCTTGTCTGTCTGTCTGACCATAGTGGGAACTCTGGCCTTGTCTGTCTGTCTGACCATAGTGGGAACTCTGGCCTTGTCTGTCTGTCTGACCATAGTGGGAACTCTGGCCTTGTCTATTTGTCTGACCATAATGGGGACTCTGGCTTTGTCTGTCTGTCTGACCATAGTGGGAACTCTGGCCTTGTCTGTCTGTCTGACCATAGTGGGAACTCGGGCCTTGTCTATTTGTCTGACCATAGTGGGGACTCTGGCTTTGTCTGTCTGTCTGACCATAGTGGGAACTCTGGCCTTGTCTGTCTGTCTGACCATAGTGGGAACTCTGGTCTTGTCTGTCTGTCTGACCATAGTGGGGACTCTGGCTTTGTCTGTCTGTCTGACCATAGTGGGAACTCTGGTCTTGTCTGTCTGTCTGACCATAGTGGGGACTCTGGCTTTGTCTGTCTGTCTGACCATAGTGGGAACTCTGGCCTTGTCTGTCTGTCTGACCATAGTGGGAACTCTGGCCTTGTCTGTCCATCTGACCATAGTGGGAACTCTGGCCTTGTCTGTCTGTCTGACCATAGTGAGAACTTTGGCCTTGTCTGTCTGTCTGACCATAGTGGGAACTCTGGCCTTGTCTGTGTGTCTGACCATAGTGGAAACTCTGGCCTTGTCTGTCTGGCTGACTGTAGTGGGAACTCTGGCCTTGTCTGTCTGTCTGACCATACTGATAACACTGGCCTTGTCTGTTCGTCTGACCATAGTGGGAACTCTGGCCTTGTCTGTCTGTCTGACTGTAGTGGGAACTCTGGCCTTGTCTGTCCATCTGACTGTAGTGGGAACTCTGGTCTTGTCTGTCTGTCTGACCATAATGATAACTCTGGTCTTGTCTGTCCATCTGACCACAGCCGAATTCCTGACCCAGCCTCCCAGACTGTCCACAATAAGAGCCTGATTTCTGTTGATTTGTTTGGTTAAAGTGAGAGTCTTGTCCAAATGTTTCAGGCTGTTGTGCAAGTCTTTCAGACTGACCATAATGAGAATCCTGAACTGGTTTTTCACACCCATTTAAGGCAAAGATATGTCCCTGCCATTTAGTCTGGCCCCTGGTAGATTTGTGACTCACTTTTTTATCAGAACCAGAGTTGGAGTCTTGACTTTGTCTCTCTGACTGATCAAAGCTGAAATCCTTGTCTTGTCTCTCAGACTGATTGTGGTGAGAATCTCTGTCTTGTCTCTCAGGCTGACCATTGTGGGAATCTCTGTCTTGTCTCTCAGGCTGACCGTGGTGGGAATCTCTGTCTTGTCTCTCAGCCTGACCGTGGTGGGAATCTCTGTCTTGTCTTTCAGGCTGACTGTGGTGGGAATCTCTGTCTTGTCTTTCAGGCTGACTGTGGTGGGAATCTCTGTCTTGTCTCTCAGGCTGACCATGGTGGGAATCTCTGTCTTGTCTCTCAGCCTGACCGTGGTGGGAATCTCTGTCTTGTCTCTCAGCCTGACCGTGTGGATCTTTCTTTTTTCATGCTTTTTTTTTTTTCGGTGACTGTGGTGGAATCTCTGTCTTGTCTTTCAGGCTGACTGTGGTGGGAATCTCTGTCTTGTCTTTCAGGCTGACTGTGGTGGAATCTCTTTTTTCAGGCTGACCGTGGTGGGAATCTCTGTCTTGTCTCTCAGGCTGACCACTGTGGGAATCTCTGTCTTGTCTCTCAGACTGACTGTGGTGGGAGTTCTGCCTTTCTTCCTCGTGCCTCTGTCTGTGTTGTGTACCTGTGTTTCCTGGGAACTTATGGTCTTGTGCTCCTTCCTGCCCCCTTTCTTGCTGCGAGGTCCTGCCTCCATATGACTTATTGTCTAGCTTACGATAGCAGGCTTGGACCAACTGGAACACCAACAAGAGGTACTCATGAAAATCAACATGTCCATCTCGGTCTTGATCTAAGAGGTTCAAGATGGTTTCCACAGTCTCTGGGTCATTTGGTCTCTGTTAGGAGATAAAACAAAGAGCAAAATCAGATGCTTTCCTGTGCATACTAAGATGTGTATTAGTGTTCATGCCTCAATCCATTAGGTACTGCATGGACCTTCCTAGGTTGAAAAACCATTAATCTGAGGTGGTGTGGACTTGGCGCTAGTCTTTGATCAGTTGGTTCTCAGAACCTTGCTGGATCAATGGGAGCAGGGAGTAGATACACTTATTTAAAATCAGCTCCATTAGTAATTAATTTGATTCATTTCAAAGTTATCCCATTCCATCACAGTCTGTACCCTAGTTGTTTACCTCCTTTTTTTTTCTCACTGCACTGTGAGATCCTAGAAGGAGGGGAAGCTGATTTTATTCATGTTTGTATCCCTTGTGCCTAGGGGCGTAGAGCAGGTGCTCAGTGACTCTTTATTGGTTGAATGAATGAATACATGAAAAGATGTGTGGATAGCACTAAAATATAGAAATCAAGGTATGAATCTTAGGTCTTCATCTGAGAAATTATTCCCTGTTACCTTGAAGTTATACTCCCTCCTGTTCAAACTCAGATACAAGGAGGTGTGTGTGTGTGTGTGTGTGTGTGTGTGTGTGTGCGTGTTTGTGTGTATGCTGGGAGAGAACTACTAAGGAACTGCCTGAAATTCCTTTTGTTATAGGGTGGAGCAAGACCAAATAAAACAATGCATCCAACTCTGGTGCAGGTGTCAGAGTCATTCACACTTGATCCCATGGGGCTATGTGTCTGTGTATCTCACCTGGAGGATGTCTCCAAACTCAGCCAAGAGCAGTTGTTTCAACTCCTCCTTGCATAGTAAGGCACAGTCCCCATTCTCTTTGGCATATTTGTGAAACACCTCGATCACACTGAGTATGCTACTCAGGAGTTGAGCCATTTTGACAAATACAGGTGAACCTAAAAGAAGAAACAAGATTTCTCCTGCCCTTAGGATAATGACCATGAGACAGCATTTCCACAGGGAGAGTGAACCCTCTGGATCTGGGAAAAAGTTTAAGAAGTGAGAGAGCCCCTTCTTAGCTGTACCCCTCCTTTGCCCTGACTCACAGTCAGGGACCAAATATCATTGCTGTAATGGGAGATGGTGCAAACTTGGTTCCCCTGCTATAAAAAGAGACAATTTCTTAAAAAACAAAAAATGCATTGCAGGTGTTTTACATATCCCATCCTCTACTCCAGGTAGGATTCACTTGATTGAAACTCTCATATCAGAACAAAAGGAAGGGAGGCCAGGAAGCCCAATAGAGGCAGGGCCAGAAGCTAGCATAGTAGGGCATAATTTTCGACTAACAACTAGAAAACTGGAGGGGGCACTAAACAGATCCCACTGAACAGGTTTCAGTCTTGTAACAAGCCTTTCTTAAGCAAGGAAGAAGGCTGAAAATCTCTCTTCATGGTCTAAGGAAGCTTTCTGGGAGGCTAAATTCCAGCAAATGCTTCTGGCCTGGATGATTTTGGGACATGCTTATAAAATGAAATCAATGAACATAAAAGCTGTTACAGATAAAAATAGCAAGTGGGTACATAGCCAAATTAAGGGCACAGATTATAGGAGGTATATATAATCAGTTAGGTCCACATTGGCCATGCTGGGAGACTTGGGTCTTTTGGGATCTAAATCTCAATTACATTTTTTTTCTTGCGGTATGAAAATTCCAATTAGTGGGTTTATAGGCCTCCAAACTGAAGCCCTATCTGCAGAGCACATTGAACTGCCCAAAGCATACAAACAGTGATGTCTATAAGAATAAGTGACAAATAATGGATCACATGGGACAAGCTGAGTCCCTTGTTGTAATTCAATGCAATGAGACTTGAGCATTGCTGGGTCCATGGTCCTGGGCCCTGGCCCTAAATTATTAGGTCTTTCCTAACTTGCACAAAAAGTAAATGCTCCACTATGGGAGACTAAGCTATTCATCAATAGTTACAGCCCTCAGTTTTGGGATGCCTAGGACACATTGAAGCGAAGGCACTTGCATTTCACAGGCACAGAAGTAGTCCATCCCAGCTATTGTCATATTCTCAGATAGAGGCAGAGAAAGGAAGCAGAAGGTAACCAAGGCTATTACCCACAAAAATTAGTCTCAGTCCTCCCCAGCCTGGTGCATTACAGGGCGCTTGAGAGCCTTGTAGATACTACCAATGCTCCCCCGTGCATATCTTACCTGCTTGAGGAGGAAGGAGCAGAAGATTCAGGAGTCAGAGAGGATATTGGAAACCTAAAAACTCATCCTATTTATAGGAGTTTTAATTATCCTACCAGGCCATCCCAGGAGACACCCATTCTGTGGCAAAGCCTGAATCACTGTGGTCCCAGCCCAGCTCAGCCCAGCTTGACCTCTCCCTCTGCAAACCGTTTGGTTTATTTACTTCCCCCACTTGCTCATGAACCTGTTTGTCACTACAGTAGGTGACACTGTTTAAGTCCCAGCCCCATTTAATTAGGAGGATGTGTTTGTGTGTGTAAGTATTTGTGCTGTGAGGGTCCCGAAAGACAGAGGTGTTGGCTGAGTTCATCCTTAATATATGTCACTTGCCAATACTAATAGAGGGCAACAGTCAACTCATACTGAAGAAGGATATCTACATGGTCATTTACAAACATATGTCAAAGTTGGAACTAGAGATTCTATTTATTTGGCCAGAATATAGTCCCTGGAAGAGGTTTCTTTTAGACTAACCTTTTTCTTGTGCTGGTAGATATTTGGATATTAACCTATTAACTTATTTTGAATTACGATTATTTTTCATTTAACAACTCCACAGGCTAGTTGGGAGAAGTACACACATAGTCAGTTTTGGGGATGAGGGGTGCTGATGGTGGAAATTCTACCACTTAAGCCTTCTAAGACTTACTACTGAAAAGTTTGAGTTGAGAGACAACATGGAGGTTTATGATATCTGTGAGACAGAAATGCTGCTAGAGACCCCAGCTTCTGTTCATTTCCCATCTCCATGCCCTTAGATGCCAGCACAGTATCTTGAGCATGGGAGATTCTTAGTAAATATTTTTGGGGTAAACGAATTATTGGATTATGGAAGCACTGAAGAATCTTATGTAAGGTGCAAAAAACTGTAGACTCACCTGTATTTCAACATTAGTCTCACATCTAGATCCCTGTTTGGACCTTTTCCTATGTATCCATCAGCCAATCTGTTAATTTTAATAACACTTGCTATTATTTACTGTGTGTTCAGGATTCTACAAGGGAATCACAACAGTGCAGAAAGATTTTAGTTCAGTTGGAATAAAGAAGCTTCGCATAGAAAAATACTTTCAACTCCAGGGATAGGACATGCTAAGTGCTGAGTATTAGAAACCTAGGTGCATGTGCAGTCCTTGTGGCTGGGCCTGGACATCCCTTAGGAGGTGAGCTTCATGTTGTTCCTGAAAGGATTCAGGTGGGCAGAGAAGAAAGCAAAGGACTTCTGAGTGGGGAGAAGGGAAGAATCAAATGTACTAAGGTGAGAGTTTATATGTTGTGTTTGGATTCAAGTGAGCTGGTAAGTCTGGGTTGAGCAGAGGGATTTAGAAGAGTAGACTTAGAAAATTTTGGATCTGAAAGAGAAATCTAGCCTTAGCTTCTGAATTTTTCAGATAAGGAAACTGAGGTTCAGCTAGGTTGAGTGTATTTGCCAAGGGTTTCACGGGCTATGACTAAAGCGAGGCCTGGTTTACTTGTTTCCTCACTCTAGCCCGATATGCTTTCTGAGACATTCTGTGAGGCAGATTTGGGGCCTACTTTATGGTTTGTTTTAATGAGAAAGGAGAAGCAGGGTTTTGGTCAGGAAAAGTGACATAATCAAAGCATTGTTTAGAGGAAGAATCTAATGGCTCTGTTGTAGGTGGTCAGATGTCTCAGTTTGTCTGGGACTAAGGAGTTTCCCAGGACATGAGACTTTCAGTGGGATAGTTCTGGGCAATATGGACCAAGCTGGTCACCCTAAACTGTGGTGTACAAAATGAATTGGAAAGAGGAGTACTGGGCAGTGAGGCCAGTTAGGAGTCTATGATATGGCACGGGTGAGAAGTGACAAGGACTTCGACCTGGATGCAGTAGTTCAAAACTATAGGAAGGTAGATGGATAATAGCAGGAATAAAGGGATGAGGTCTGGGGACAGATTAGAAGAGGGGCAGGGAAAGTGGGAACACTAGGTGAGATTCCAAGTCTTTAAGTCTAGATAACTAGTAGAACTATGGTACACTGAAGAAATGTAACTTCTGAAGGGGGACTGATGGGTCTAAGATCCAGTGCTTCTATTGGCATTTCCCAGGTCTGCCTTTTGTAGTCTTGTTATACTCCCTCCAGCTTGCACCCTTAGCTGTCTGGGGTCTCCCAGCACAGGTCAGGACTTTCTTAAGTCTGTTCATAAATTCTGAGAGCTGGGTCACATTAAGGTTCTCCTTATACTTTTGCGTCTCTACTTAGTGCTCTTCAGTTATGTCTCTTCTCACCTGTTAGAATAAAAGAACTAGGGAGGATTTGGTTGTCCCCAGAGGCAAATAAGAGGAGTGGGGGTGGGATGGGCAGGGGTTGAAGACAATAGCCATCATGACACAGAACGACAATATTGTGTCCCCTTTCTCTTGGCATGTTCCGTGGCTCTCTAGCAACTGTTTCTTTTGGTTAGACGGGAAGTTCTCTTTGTTTGATGCTGCAGTGAGAGAAAGACTATGTTCTTAAGAGTTGGATCTGCTATGTGTGCATTCATTTAACACTTAATACATTCTGATAGAATAGGCAGAGAACTATGTTGATCAGCCAATCAGTTAATCAATTAGTATTTGTGACCATACAGAGGGCGCCCTTTGTGGGCACTGAGATAAAATGTAGTCTTTGTCCTTAAAGAACTTTCAATGTCACTGGGATTGAAAATTCAGTCTCACTGGGATACACAAGATCTTTTTCTGTGGTTCAAATTGCTTCACAGGTATTACTGCCATTGATAGGGTAGAGAGGGGTTGACTAGAGGGAAGAAAGGGGAGGCCACAGGGCTAGAAATAAAACACCTTTGAAGGAATCATCAAATGTGACCTTTGTTTCTTTATCTGTAAAAGGAGACAATTGGAGCTTTCTTTTGGCATTGGCATTCTGAGATTCTGTCATGCCAATCTTAAGGTTAGCAATGGCTTTAGAGGTCATATTTAAACATTGCTCTATTCAGATATTTGATAAAGCCCTCAGAAATTTGTGCTTTTCAGTCTTTCTCTGTGGAAAATGGAGAAGTCAATTATGGGTGTCCTGTTTCTTCATTAACATTTATAAATTTCATGAGGACCTACACTATTTTTAAAAATTATTTTTCAATGTGTTTTGCAGCTTTAAATGCAGTCGTGTTGTGTGACCTTTGGTTTCAAAGGCAAGATGTTTTAAGCTACAATTTGTTGAAGTCTTATTGTGTGCTAGGCTCTGTGTTAAGCATTATATATATATATTATCTCCTTAAAAATAATTTCAATTTTTATTTCATATTCCATGGGTATATGTGAAGGTTTATTACATGGGTACACTGCTTGGTGTTGAGCTTTGGGATATGAATAATCCCATTGCCCAAATAGTGAGCATAGCACCCAGTAGTTTTTCAACTCTTTCTCCCCTCTTCCCCCTTCTAGTAGTCCCCAGTGTTTATTGTTGTCATCATTATGTCCCAGAGTACCCGATATTTAGCTCCCACTTATAAGTGAGAATATGTGGTATTTGGTTTTCTGCTCCTGCACTAATTTGCCTAGGATAATGGCCTCCAGCTGCATCTTATGCACCTGACAAAGGTCTAATATTCCAAATCTATAAGAAACTTATTATCTTGTTTAATGCCCACAGAAACTCCATGAGGCAGAGAATATCGTCTTCATTTTTCAAACAGGGACACTGGGCCTCAGAGAAGGAT